CTGGTTTCTCAACTCATCTGCTCGCCTATCAGATCGAGACCCACAAGAAGAAAGGTGAGACCTTGGAACAACAGGAAGTAGAAATGCACACCTTGTGAGGCTAAGAGACTCCTAACTGCTGCGGTGAGCAAAAGAAAAGCTAGCGCAAGCTCTTTGTGGAATATCTTATTGGTTTTCTTCATGGAAACCGATTTTTTCTTCTGTTCTTCAAGTTGGCTTATCTCCGAGAGCTCACTCTCCGAAACTCCTCTTAGCATTTGGTTTGGTATCTTCTTGGATTCTTTCTCAGTGACTGCCAAAAGATCAGACTCTGATGATCTTCCTGCTTTCTTTGTTACAATCCATTCGTACGAGCTACCGAGTTGGAATAATCCAGATACCATCGCGTTGAACTTGGTGACCGACATTGTGTTCTCAAACAAGAGGTAAGGGACAATGAAAGGGAAGGACTTTGGAGCAGGGAGAATGTTGAGTAATGACATGGAAATCGGTACATAGCAGATGACCCAAACAGGAAGCTCGGCTTCTGGAACGAACATGGTGATGGGAAGGATTACGCAGAACAATGTGAAAGAGTAGAAAGGAAGTATGAGTTTCCTTAGAAGGAAGAACAGAAGTATCAGATTTGCTTTCTTCCACATTGCAATCTGCAATAAGAAAAAGAACCATTAACTCAATGAAATCATCAGATTACATAACAAAACCATAGCTCTTATATTACCTTAGATGTCAAGATTGCTCGAAGACACAAGCGAAATAGTTGCATAGGTCCTGAGTGCCATCTATGTTGCTGCTTCTTGTATGCTTCGTACGACTCAGGAACTTCACAAAGAACCTAAGAGATTGAATTTAATTTAGTACGTTTACATAAGGCTCATCATGAAACTGTACCAAGAACACGCGATATAATAGTACCTTGACATCGTTAAGATATATGAATTTCCATCCATGGAGATGAGCCCGAACAGCTATATCCATATCCTCGACAGTTGTCCTTTCAAGCCAGCCTCCAGATTCCTCAAGGGCTTTAATTCTCCATACTCCAGCAGTTCCATTGAAACCAAAGAAATTCAAGAACACACCATTAACCTGCTGCTCAACCTCAAAGTGAAAACACAGATTGATGTTTTGGAGACGAGTCAACAAGTTTTCGTCTTTGTTCACAAACGCCCACCTAGCCTGAACCAGACCTAACTCAGGCTTCTCCTAAAATAACATTGGCATTTGCAAGTTAGAAGCTTCACCGAAAATGGTTTGTCTCATGACACAACCAAACAGATTTACTAATTTACTTATCTGCATACCTTGAAATGTGGAACAGTTAGTTTGAGGAAATCCGAGTTAGGTTGGAAATCCGCATCGAAAATTGCAACAAACTCATAATCTTCCACATAATCACAGCTCATTGCGGATTTGAGGTTACCAGCTTTGTATCCAGTTCTAACTAAGCGATGCCGGTAAATTATGTTGACACCCTTTTGGCTCCACTTAGTAACCTCAGCTCTAATTAACTGCTGGATGCTTTGATCATCTGAATCGTCTAGAACCTGAACCAGCATTCGATCTTTTGGCCAGTCAAGCTGGCACACAGCAGATATAGATTGCTCATATACCTGAACAAGAATAGACATTCATGTAACTTCATTGATCTAATTCAATAACAAATCACCTAAACATGAAAAAAAAAGGTCAAGAAAACAGGACAAAGATTGATACTTTGTTCTCCATACCTCTCTCTCATTGCACATTGGTATCTGAACAAGAACCATTGGATACTCAGATCCTGATCCTTCAACATCATCATTTCGAAAAGGCTCTCCTTCGATTCTCGGCTTAATCTTCTTATACTTAATCCAAAAACAGCCTAAGCAAAGAATCAAACGATCTACAGACTGTACAAGGAACAGTACAATACAAAACTTGGAGAGAGCTTTGATAGGAGGAGCAATATAATCAGCTCTTAAGCTCAACCAACCAACATAGAGCAGATGAAACAAGCTCTGGATCTCGAGTTTGCTTATCGGTATATGAAGATTAGGGTTTTTGAAGTAATGCCATCCTCTGTAATAAGCAACTAACTCAAACCCAAGAATCGTCAATGAAGCAACTAAGAAGAGCTTAATGGCTGAGAAAAGCCATCTGTCTCTACCAAGTCTCTCAGAGCCAAGTGGGTGAGTGAAACTGAGCCTTCTCTTAACCGAACCAAGGAGAGACCAGAACACAGTGGCTAACCAAGTGAGACAACCAACAGCTTTGTGAGCATTAAGAAGCAAAACCCATCTCACTTGTTTAGCGTTCTTGCCTCTACTCTTCTTCTCCATTGGTCCAAACGCATCATCGTCTGGTTCGTCTATTTCAACGATTGAGTAATTTGGATTCTCCATTTTCACCACAACTGGTGTACCTTTCCTCGTTTCCTTCGCCCACAAATCTGAAAAACCAAACCTTGGAGCCATTCTCTGCTTCTTCCCTACCAATCTGACTATTAGCCAGAGATTTGGAGAAAAAGGGAAAAATCAGAACTTGATTAAGAGAGTTGAGGAATTAGTGAAGACCCAAATCTGAAAGGTCGAAGCTTTAAGCAAAACCCATCTCGGGAAACGAGAATGAAGTAGGGTTTTTTAAGTGAGTGAGAGGTAATCTGAACAACCCAAATCCAAGAAGCCGGATTTCTAAAGACCCATTTTTGAAAAACAGACAAAGAAGCAGCAACAGCTCAAAGGGGTCATTAATAGCGACCTGCGAAAGAGTAAAGACAATGTGAGTGGTTTGGGCA